AACAAGCCCGGGAACAGAAAACTAAATATCACATGTTCTCACTTAGAAGTAGGAGCTAAACTTTTTGAAGACACATTGGACACAAAGATGGGAACAATAGAACCTGGGGACTTGAACAGAAAAGGTGGTGGGGGTGGTGGCAAATAATGCTCACTACCTTGGTGATGGGATCATTTGTACACAAAGCCTCTGTGACATGCAAGTTACCTATGTAACAAACCTGCACATGTACCCCTGGACCTAAAGTAAAAGGTTCAGTGTGATGCCTCCTGCTTTCACCTACTTTGTTAGTTGTATTCCTAGGTATTTTATTCTCTTTGTAGCAGTTGTGAACAGCAGTTCGTTCTTGATTTGGCTCTCTTTAAGTCTGCTATTGGTGTATAGGTATTTTTGTGATTTCTGCACATAGATTTTGTATCTTGAGACTTTGCTGAAGTTGCTTATCAGTTTCAGGAGAGATTTTGGGCTGAAACGATGGGGTCTTCTAAATATACAATCTTGTTGTATGCAAACAGACCATTTGCCTTCCTCCTTTCCTAATTGAATGCCATTTATTTCTTTTTCTTGCCCGATTTCTCTGGCTAGAACTTCCAATACTATATTGAATAAGAGTGGTAAGAGAGGGCATCCTTGTCTAGTGCCAGTTTTTAAAGTGAATGCTTCCAGTTTTTGCCCATTCAGTATGATATTGGCTGTGGGTTTGTCATAAATTGCTTTTATTATTTTGAGATACATTCCATCGATACCTAGTTTATTGGGAGTTTCTAGCATAAAGGCTGTTGAATTTTGTTGAAGGCCTTCTCTGCATCTATTGAGATAATCATGTGGATTTTGTCTTTGGTTCTGTTTATGTGGTGTATTATGTTTACAGACTTACCTATGTTGAACCAGTCCCCAGGATGAAGCCTATTTGATCGTGATGGATAAGCTTTTTGATGTGCTGTTGCAATCGGTTTGCCAGTTTTTATTGAAGATTTTTGTATCGATGTTCATCATGGATATTGGCCTGAAGTTTTCTTTTTCTGTTGAGTCTCTGCCTGGTTTTGGTATCAGGATGATAATGGTCTCATAAAATGATTTGGGAAGGATTCCTGTTTTTAGATTGTTTGGAATAGTTTCAGAAGGAGGGGTACTAGCTCTTCTTTGTATGTCTAATAGAATTCGGCTGTGAACCCATCTAGACCCCGGCTTTTTTTGGTTGGTAAGCTGTTAATTGCTGCCTCAACTTCAGCCCTTTTTATTGGTCTATTCAGGTTTTCAACTTCTTCCTGGTTTAGGCTTGGGAGGGTGCAAGTGTCCAGGAATTTATCCATTTCTTCCAGGTTTACTGGTTTATGTGCATAGAGGTGTTTGTAGTAATCTCTGATGGTAGTTTGTATTTCTGTTGAATCAGTGGTGATACCCCCTTTATCGTTTTTTACTGTATCTATTTGATTCTTCTCTCTTTTCTTTTTTATTAATCTGGCTAGCAGTCTGTATATTTTGTTGATCTTTTCAAAAAACAAGCTCCTAGGTTTATTTATTTTTTTGAAGGTTTTTTTGTATCTCTGTCTCCTTCATTTCTGTTCTGATCTTAGTTATTTGTTGTCTTCTGCTAGCTTTTGAGTTTTTCTGGTCTCGCTCCTCTAGTTCTTTCAATTTTAATGATAGGGTATCGATTTTAGATCTTTCATTGCTTCACATGTGGGCATTTATTGCTATAAATTTCCCTCTAGACACTACTTTAAGTGTGTCCCAGAGATTCTGGTAAATTGTGTCTTTGTTCTCGTTGGTTTGGAAGAACATCTTTATTTCTGCCTTCATTTCATTGTTTATCCAGTCAACATTCAAGAACCAGTTGTTCAGTTTCCATGAAGTTGTGTGGTTCTAAGTTATTTTCTTAATCCTGAGTTCTAATTTGATTGCACGGTGGTCTGAGAGACTGTTTGTTATGATTTCCGTTCTTTTGCATTTGCTGAGGAGTGATTTACTTCCAATTATGTGGTCAGTTTTACAGTAAGTGCAATGCGGTGTTGAGAAGAATGTATATTCTGTGGATTTGGGGTGGAGAGTTCTGTAGATGTTTATTAGCTTTGCTTGGTCCAGATCTGAGTTAAAGTCCTGTATATCCTTGTTAATTTTCTGTCTCGTTGATCTGTCTAATATTGACAGTGGAGTGTTAAAGTCTCCCGCTGTTATTATATGGGAGTCTAAGTCTGTTTGTAGGTCGTTAAGAACTTGCTATATGTATCTGGGTGCTCCTGTATTGGGTGCATATATGTTTAGGATTGTTAGCTCTTCTTGTTGCACTGATCCTTTTACCATTATGTAATGCCCTTTTTTGTCTCTTTTGATCTTTGTTGGTTTAAAATCTGTTTTATCTGAGACTAGGACTGCAACTCCTGCTTTTTTTTTGCTCTCCATTTGCTTGGTAAATCTTCCTCCATACCTTTATTTTGCATCTGTGTATGTCCTTACACATGAGATGGGTTTCCTGGATATAGCACACTGATGGGTTTTGACTTTTTATCCAATTTGTCAGTCTGTGTCTTTTGATTGGGGCATTTAGCCCCTTTACATTTAAGGTTAATATTGTTATGTGTGAATTTGATCCTGCCATTTTGATGCTAGCTGGTTGTTTTGCCCGTTAGTTGACACAGTTTCTTCATTGTGTAGATGTTCTTTACCATTTGGTATGTTTTTGGAGTGGCTGATACTGGTTGTACCTTTCTATGTTTAGTGCTTCTTTCAGGAGCTCTTGTAAGGCAGGCCTGGTGGTGATGAAATCTCTCAGCAATTGCTTGTTCATAAAGGATTTTATTTCTCCTTCGCTTGTGAAGCTTAGTTTGGCTGGATATGAATTTCTAAGTTGAAAGTTCTTTTCTTTAAGGATGTCGAATATTGGCCCCCACTCTCTTCTGGCTTGTAGGTTTTCTGCCAAGAGATCCACTGTGCATCTGATGGGCTTCCCTTTGTGGGTAATCTGGCCTTTCTCTCTGGCTGCCTTAGCATTTTTTCCCTCATTTCAACCCTGGTGAATCTAACGATTATGTGCCTTGGGGTTGCTCTTCTTGAGGAATATCTTTGTGGTATTCTCTGTATTTGCTGGACTTGAATGGTGGCCTGCCTTGCTAGGTTGGGGAAGTTCTGCTGGATAATATCCTGAAGGGCGTTTTCCAGCTTGGATTTATTCTCTCCATCAGATTCAGGTATGCCTATCAAACATAGATTAGTTCTTTTCACATAATCCCATATTTCTTGGAGTCTTCATTCATTTCTTTTCACTCTTTTTTCTCTAATCTTGCCTTCTCATTTTATTTCTTTGAGTTGATCTTCGATCTCTGATATCCTTCCTTCTGCTTGGTCAATTCAGCTATTGAAACTTATGTATGCTTCACGAAGTTCTCATGTTGTGCTTTTCAGCTCCATCAGGTCATTTATATTCTTCTCTAAGCTGTTTATTCTCATTAGCATTTTGTCAAACCTTTTTTCAAGGTTCTTAGTTTCTTTGTGTTGGGTTAGCGCATGTTCTTTTAACTCAGAGAAGTTTATTATTATCCATCTTTTTAAACCTGTTTCTGTCAATTCATCAGACTCATTCTCCATCCAGCTTTGTTCCCTTGCTGGTGAGGAGTTGTGATCCCTTGCAGGAGGAGAGGCATTCTGGTTTTGGGTGTTTTTATCCTTTTTGTGCTGATTTCTTCCCATCTTTGTGGATTTATCTACCTGTGGTCTTTGTAGTTGGTGACTTTTGGATCGGGTCTCTGCGTGGACGTACTTTTTGTTGATGATGAAGTTATTTATTTCTGGTTTTTGGTTTTCCTTCTAACCGTGAGGCCCCTCTGCTGTAGGACTGCTGGAGGTCTACTCCAGACCCTGCTTACCTGGGGATCACCTGCAGTGGCTGCAGAACAGTAAGGGTTTCTGCCAGTTTTTTTTTCTGTTATCTTTGTCCCAGAAGGATACCCCAGATGTCAGTCTGAGCTCTCCTTTGTGAGGTGTCTCTTTGGATATATGGGGGTCAGGGAGCTGCTTGAGGAGACAGTCTCACCATTGTAGGAGCTTAAGTGCTGAGATGTGAGCTCCGTTGTTCCACCGAGATCTGCTAGGCAGGTATGTTTAAGTCTGCTGCAGCCGAACTCATAACTGCCTTTTTTCTCAGGTGCTCTGTCCTGGGAAGGTGGGGCTTTATTTATAAGTTTCTGATGTGCTACTGCCTTTTTTCAGAGCTGCCCTGGCCAGCTGGGATGTTCCTAGTCACAGTCTGCCAGCAGAGGCGTTGCTGAGCTGCTGTGGCCTCTGCCCAGCTGCTGTGTGAATTTCCTTGTGGTTTTGTTTATAGGGGTATAGTCAGAACTGCCTTGGTGATGGCGGTCTGCCTCAGTAGTGGCGGTCTGCCTCAGTAATGGTGGACTGCCTCTGTAATGGCTGACTGCCTTGATAATGGCAGACTGGCTCAGTAGTGGTGGACTGCCTTGGTAATGGTGGACGCCCTTCCCCCTACAGAGCTGGACCATCCTGGGTCCAGCTGTGCTTGCTGTGAAACTCTCAATGTAGAGCATTTCAGATTGCTGGTCTTTGTCGGGGTGCGACCCACCGAGCCAGATCACCTGTCTCCCTGTTTCAGTCCCCTTTTTTTCAGTTGAATGGGTGGCTCTGTCTCCCAGGCATTCCAGGCGCCAGTTGAAACAGCTGCCCAGATTTGTGTGAGTTTTTACGCAGAGACCCGCTGCACCAGCCGAAACAGCCGTGCTGGAAGCTTGTGGTGTTTTTCAGCCCAGGAATCTCCTGGTCTGTGGGCAGTAATAACTTGTTTGGAAATGCGGTGATCACTCACCCTCTGTGTTGTTCTCTCTGCACTGCAGAGCTGTTCCTATTTGGCCATCTTGGATCCTCCTCTCAAGTTCATTTAAATATGTGTTGTTGTGTTGTTTTTTTTTTCTTCCTTGATGATACTGATAACATTCCCTACAGGAATAGCGTTTAACCTATGAAACACTAATTATTTTCTTTTTTCTCAGGATGAACTTGACCTCACAGACAAACACAGAGAAGCCATGTTTGCACTTCCAGCTGAGAAAAAATGGCAAATATACTGTAGCAAGAAAAAGGTAAGATTTTCATTGTGATTATGGTTAACTGGAAAATAATCATTTTGATTCCCTCTGCTCTTCCAATTTACCACTAGGATTGGACAGCTGTTTGTAATATGAAACCAGATTGAATGTGTTATGTTGTGGCTGTGGTGTTAGATGTAGCCAGTGCTACTGGCTGGATGATGTTTTTATCAACACTTCATTGGACTCTCCTCCATCTGTAACCATCATTCATAATCATGTGTAACTGAGACCTAAAATAACGTTTGCTTATGCAAGTTAGAAATTCGCCTCTGCTCTTTACACAGCAGTCTGTATACAGTTGTCTAGGACCTGGTATGGGGTCACAGCCACCTTCTGACAACTTTCCATTTCATCATCTTTCTGGTGTGGCCTCATCCCGTGCTCCAAGATGACTCTCCAGCCACTTCATGTTCCAAAACAAGAATGGAAGAAAGGGAAGAAGGCACAGGCTCCCCAACTCCCACTTTAAGGGACACATTCCTGGAGTTATATGTTTGACTCTCTCTCATATCCCACTGCTGGTTGCATGGCCACACTTGCTGAAAGGACCAAAGTCTTTATTCTGGGCAGTCACTTCCCATTTAAGATCTGGGGGTTCTGTTACTTCAAGAGATGAGAAGAATGGATATAGGGGACAGTGAAACACCAAAGCTCTTCTTATTCCCTAGTATCTGCGGCACCAGGCATTGCTCCATGGTGACTATATCTCCTGAAATATAGTGCACTCTGCTATCTTTTAAACGCTGTAGCAGATTCTGAGTATATCCTCACACCCATTTTGGGGACTAATCCTGTTCATGGCCACCTTTTACCACTTTTCCTTCTGTTCCAGCAGAGACTTAAACCAAGATGGGGTAATGAGAAGAGCAGGGCTAGCACCTAGCTCTCCAGCAGGCAGTGGACACTTTGATTACTTACTCCTGACCCAGGGAAACAGGAACAAACCACAATAATCCAATATTTTTTCAAGACACCACTAGGGAACCTTTTACTAGGTGAAACCAATATGCGGGTTGGGACCTCCTGTTTGGCATCTCTCAGCACATCTGCCCCCTCTTTGCTACCTTGTGTAATTGCCCTGTGTCACTCTCCTGGGAGCATCTTAAATTACTCAGTAAAGGGACTCTCTGCCTAGCAGTGAGCCTGTGTGAGTGGCTCTCCATCTGACTTTATGCCTTTGATGAAGAGACACCATGTCTCATCCATCTTTGTAACTCCAGCATCTGATACTTTGAAGTGAATGCATGATGACTGAACCACTGAATTGTCATTAGTGTTATACTGAATACTGTCAAAAAAACTAAAGCACATTAATTTTCCACCTGAGCAGTTGTAATTGGTATAACTTGTGTCGGATTTGGTTCTGGTGGCCTTTGCTGAGAAATGTGGTCAGCCATAACCCCTCAGTATGATCTCTGAGCCTCTATCAGATTATTCCCAAACTGAAGCCTTAAGAGTTCTTAATCGAGTGGTAACCAGTATGATACCATTGTGAAATAAATGTCTTCCTCTCCTGTTCTGCCCTTTCCCTTTGTATACATTGAACCAACTAGAAAACCTCTCTGTTGAACTGATTGTCATGGCTCAAGAAACAAATACGATACATTGAGAAAGAATTTTAAGATGAAATAAAATGTGTTCAGTTCTGAAACTGGTGTCATATAGTCTTTGGAAACAAGGGAACTTTTTGCACTGTCATCTTAAAAACCTGCCACTAGAACCTAGAAAGAGAAATCCTCATGTTGCAGGTAAACACAGAGGACATTGTCTATTTTGGCTCATGCTAGTGCAGATTTTTTCTGAAAATTAGGAAACAATACAAAGAAGGGATTGAGAATGTTCACTAGAGGAAAGAAAAGGGCAGGAAAATGGGAGCAGCTTACTGAGAGGAAAGTTTTCTTCTTTCCCAGATTTTATTACACCCTTGACAGCAATAGAAAGTTAATCATGGAAACTACTGCCCCTTAGATTAGAAAAGGCAAACCCTGGAGAATAGTAATGACCTCGGGCTTGCAGCTGCTGCTCATTTTTCAATTTCCACACCTATCAAATCCCCTTGCAAACCTCATCTCAAGTGTGCAGGATGTGGGGTTTGCTTTTTGTAGGAGGATGGTTATGGATGTGGCCACTGGCCTCAGAATCTCACGTTTTGACAGATGAGCCTTTCTTACTAGTACCTGGCCAGATTGCACAAACCTTTGAGAATGCACTTCTCCTTCTAGCCTCATTCCAACAGCTTGGCTTCCTTATATGACTTAGCAATCAGTGGAAAAGCCATTTTAACTCGTTAGGGAATCTCATGGGCTTCTAGATTTGCCTCACTTTAAAATGGATGGTAACATTGCTTGACCAAAGATTTTCTTGATTTGAGCTTCTAACACTGTTAAACTGAACTTTTAGGGCACTGCAATAAATACACAATGAATATGAGAACACAAAAACTGAACCAGGAGAAGGATATTATGTTTACCTCTTTTCAGAGAATGTAATTTCCTGAGGGACAGGTTGCCCATTCTCAGAATGGAGGCCCATGGTGGCCATCCTTAATATTAAGAACAGATTATTTTCCTTGGAACATCTCTTGTGTAGCCTATTCAAATTGGGCTTATCACCAGCAAGCCAAGCCACATCCATTTCTCAGGCTGAGGAAAGCTACACCTCAGGGCTCTGTCAACATTTCCCATCTTTCAAGATTAGAACACAGGGCATTACAGACATTCTCACACATAGTAAAGTCATAGAGTAAGGGGCCACTGGAGCCAACTGAAACAGATGGTGTGAGCTGGTGAAAAGCAAACTTTCCATGTAAAAATGAACAGAAGTTGTCAAGGCCAGTGAGCCTGGGACCGAAAGACAGGGCCAAGCTTGGCTCAGCCAAGTGTCTGTTTCCCTGTGCAACAGCGACTAGAGTCCCGGCAGCAGCTATCTGCTTATCAGGCTTTCTGCTCATTTATGAAACTTCTCTATCTCCGTCTCTGGTTGAAAACCTATTTCCAGAGCCAAAATGAAAGCAGAAAGTATTTCGCAGACTAAAATGGTTGTAAAGAAGTTAATTGAAATTTTGTCTAATTGAGTAATATCTGGTAGGGGAGTAAGAGATGGATGTTGAGGCCTTGTTGAAAGTCCAAACAAATCTAAAACTTACTGGACTGGTTGGTCATCCTTGCTTTGTCACAGACAGCAATCTGCTGTCATTTTTTTTTTTTTTTAACTTTCATAAAAGGTCCAAAAAAGATTCTGTTGGTTGGGATGGGGTATTTTCAGATAGGAAATGTTTGTGGTTCTTATCTTTAAAGGTAATTCCCTTTTTAGTTCCAATCACAACATACTCTTTTGTTTAAATGAGGTTTTTCCCAGTCTCTAGCCAGAAACTGCATCTGTTAACAATCTTTTGGACTTTAAACTGAAGCTTTTTAAACAATGAGCCATCTGACCACAAAAGGCATCTGGCCATACTGTATTTGCTTATTGTTAACATGATTTTTAAATCCTGGGAAAAGTAAGGAGTAAGTCTTTAGAGAGGAGAAAATAAAATGGGTATATACATGTCTTATGCTGACAGCAATCTTAACAGCACACGAAGAAATAATCTTTAATTGCTGTTCTGCAAATTAAAGATTTGCAAATGTATAAGTTGTGTCACTTAACCGGTCCTTATTAGTATCCAGAAAATACTTGTACCCCTCCTTGGGTGTCGGAGTTTGCAAAGTAAGTAAATGGGGGCTATAGACACTGTTAGCTGTGATGACAGCAGATATTTGAGGCAAAGATGAGGATTTGATGATTCTGCCTAGTTTTTCCTGCTTTGTTTCTGATCTCTAAAGCCAAAGCTTAAGTAAATGGTATTAGATTGTTCTTATTACATTTCTGTGTGTTCTGAGTTCCACTTTGGGGAAGGTGAGTTTTTCCTCTGCTGCTGTTGGATTCTACCTTAATTAAATCATTCAATAATCTTGCCTATCCCGGCTGCAGTTCCGGTATCGTGATTTCTGCAAACTTGATCTGGTACTAGGTACATACTGAAGACATCCAGGGAAAGTGGCTGAAAGTTCAGCTAGTACTTTTCATTGAAAAGATCCTTAATTTGGTTTGTGTACCCGGATTGGATCCATTCCTCACTCTTCCCTACAAAAAGGAATTCGTTTACCACATTTACAAAAAGATTAAAGTTGTATTGTGTGTGGCCATTGGGATGCAATTCTTTCAGTTCCTGGAGAGGTGAAGCCCTCCTGTGTTTACAGTGCTAGAGAGGCAGTAGCTTGAGCAAAACATGGCATTACACAGATTTAAATGAACTTGTGTTAAAGTAGTGGAATTAAAGACAAACCATCCATTTCTACCCAAACTAGCTGGAAAATGAGGAGACAAGATGAGATATTGGTCCTCTGGTTCTTCCCAATATCCTAATGAGAAAAGGGGTAAACTGAGAAGGGAAGCAGTGGCTGGGCACTGGGCCTGAAGATGTGAGAGGGAGGAGAAGTTAGATGTCCTCTTCTTTCTTGTACTGTGATTGATTAAATATACAGTAGAGTGAGCATTGGATTTCCAGGTGCCCACTTTGCTAGGTGTTAAGATTTGGGAGAGGGAACCAGTAAAAGGGAAAAAACTAGACTTCAGTGGCAATATTACTAGACTTCTTCGGAAGTACCTGGTTCAGTCTTCTGCAATTGAGTTTTCAACTCCGGTGATGGGTTCAAACTGGCATTTGTGCTCTTACTTGATAAGGGCTTATAGAAAGTGGCAGAAACAGCAGTGAATAGAAAGAAATTTATCTGCCTTTTCCTCCCTGCTTCTCCAAAGACTGTATAAGGAAAGCATAGTCATTGCAGAACAACCAGCATTCTAGACTCTGAAGGCTCTGAAATTCTCTGTCTTATCTACGTAGTCCCTGACATTGAGAGAGGAGGATTTGTGTATAATCCCATATTGAAACAGTAAGAAATAACAAGCTTCGAGTATCTGGTGTTTCACACATCAAAGCAATGCAGTTG